AAATGAGTTTTTTGGAGCAAAAATTAATATAAGACCTTGTCTTATTTTGGGGGAAACACGGTTAGAATGTAGACTAAATTTTGTCCCATCTTCTTTCATAAGGGTTTGACACATTTCTGTGTACCTCCATCCCCAGCCAAAGAAAAGTAGAATTTCAATATAGAGCAAAGGAGGAGGAGGAGGGGTGCTGAATGTCTGGCAGCCCTTTTGTATAAGAAGCTAAGACTGGACATTCTAATTCATACCACCAGAAGGGCAACCTGAAACCTACACCTCTGACTTGAGACTGCAATCTCCCATTTTGAAATTTACCTTGAACACAGAATATGTGGCTGTGATTTCTGGAGCTTTTATGTTTTTTTAATGCACCATGAACAGCACTGTTGGGCCTGACAAAGATCTGTATGGATTGAAAGTTTCTGTTCACATTTTTTCAGTAGCCTAATAAATGTAATATTCACTCCCACTTTTGGATTGTGTACAAAGACCACTGCACTCCACTCCCCCCCCCCAATCTCCCTTTGGCAGAATGGCCTTGCTATGCAGTTTGCAACATCACAGTTTGCAGCATGGATTATTATGAGATGAGTTCTTCACCTTTAAGCTAGCGGACTTTCTGCAGAAAATTTAGCCAAATCGTGTGAAATTGAGCCAGGATCAGTGACAAGGCAGTTTTTCTTTGGCAGCATCTAAAGGCTCCCTGCTCTTTCTACCTCTCCTCCTTCCTCAAATAAATAAATAAATAAATAAATGAATGAATGAATGAATGAATGAATGAATGAATGAATGAATAAATAAATAAATATGTTTTGATGGCAAAACACAGTCCTGAAAACATTTTTTAAAAAAACAAACCAAACAACCAAACAACAAAAAACCAGCCCAGCAGGCCATGAGTCAGCACTTCCTTTTCGATCCATCACTGAGGAACAAACACATTTTGTGCACTGATGACATGAATGGACTTTCCATACTTTGGAGTTTCCTTCGACTACAACAAGCCCTTTTCCTTCTTTCAGAAAGAATTTTTTTTCTTTTGCCACTAACAAAGAAAAGTGGAGAAAGATGTTGAAAACTAGGAAATATTAAAAGAAGGATCTATATTTAAGCTAAAAGTGAATTCTAGAAATAAAAAAGGATAATCAAGTACATCTACTTTTTCTAAGTAAGATTCTGAACATACTTTTCTAGCTACATATCCTTAGAAGCCACAACTTCCTCCTTAAAAAAACCCTGTTAATTCTGAGCTAAGAAACAGCATTAATTATTTTTTTTTTGCTGGGGTTATTGTTTAGGACTTATTTCTGACTCTTGGCATAATTTTGGTAACATACTGTATTTTAACATCTTGATTCCGTTTCAGCTGTTTCACTTTTTATTGTAATATTTGTAATTTTTATTAACTGACTGTTTTTATATCCGTAACGGCCCTGCCAGTCAAGTGGCATAGAAACATTTTAAATGAATGAATAACCTCACCATTCTACTACATTAAAATCTATTGCCTTCACTATTCATTCAAGTACTAGTAATGTATTGTAGGAGACCCTCCAGCATCTTTTGCCTTGCTTGGAATCTTTATAGTTCTTTTAGATGCCTAAACACCTAAGCCACTGGCACATACTTTGTAGTTAGAAGGACCACAATAGTTTGTACCCACAGATTACTTTCCCAGGCAATCATTTTCATTGAAATGAGTCATACATGGAAACTGTTTCACAATCTTGTTACCTGGATCCTGCTTAGATCCAGGTCATGGGATCATCCTCTCAGCAAACGATGACTGTGGAATATTTCCATTTGTCTGCCTCTACAAGACTCACTGTAAAAGCTAATCTATGGATGAAGAAATATTAGAGCAGAATGTGCTTTCTATTAAGATATTTCTATTAAGATTTTGTTTTTTCTGGTTTTGGCTTGGACCAAGTCTGAAAACATTTATCAACCCATATTAATACACGAGTTAAGAAAGTTAAAGAGAAGATGGAAGGTCACTCAGTTTTAAAACCAAGCCCAATACTGTGTTTCTTAGTTTGATTACAATGTAAGCCCTAAGCACCTAAACTGGGGTGGGGAGACTTTGGTGGGTGTGGGGCCCAACTTTCAATTTTGGCAGTTACCATGGCCCTAAAGATAAGCCCCTGTGCCAGATATAGCACAGACTCAGAGTAATTGAGCATTTTGCACACGCTGATATTTTCCTACCTCCTGGAATCCTACACTAGTTGGGCACATTAATAACACATCAGTAAAGATTACACCACCTATCAGATTAAAATCTTATTCAGGATATTATCAAAACAAACAAAAAAGGCTGTTTGAATACAAATGTCTTTGCCTGCTGGTAGGATAAAAGCTTGTTTGGCCTCCCATCTTTCAAAATCTGGGGAAGCTACTAAGAAGGTGCTTTCCTCTGCTTACCATCAAATGTTCTACTGCCTCTGATAATGACCAAAAACAAACAAAAACAAAACAACAACACAATAACATGGTCACTTAAAGAATTTTGCCTATAATGCTCAGTGGTCTCCCCCACCTACCTGTATGGGACCTCATATGTCTCGTCAAATCTTGTAGGGACCAAAATCTCTTGTTGCACACTGTACAGACTTTCTTTCTCTTGTCAGCCTTTGATTCACTCTTAGCCCCACCAGCAGCCTTTGGTTTTCTGTCATCATCACTCTTTTCAGAAGATTTTCTCTCTGTGCTCTCTCCCTCAGAGGTGCTTTCACACTCCTCATTCTCCCTTCCTGTTGCCTCACCATCTGTGGGAGACTCCGCTACTTTGATGTCCCTCCCATGCTCTTCCTGCTCAAGTGAAGGTTCCTCCTGAGTAACAGGAATTTGAGCTCCACCCTGACCATTTTTGCTTTCATCCTCACTGCTCTTTTCATCCTTCCTGTCTTCTCGGACATGAGCCTTTTTATGTCGGGTAAGAGTCCCAGCAAACTTGAAGGATTTTTCACAAATCTCACAGGTGTGTTTGTTTTCAGTCTGAGCACCACTGCCTGTGCTCTGGTCACTCTCAGCCAACTTGAAGTCCATTAGCTTGCTAGCAAAATTGAGGTCAAGGCTTTTGTTGCTGACAGAGTCTTCTTCTGGCTCCTCTTCATCTTCACTCAATTTCTCTTGTGTCTCTTCCTCTTCCTCTTCCTCTCCTTGGGACAAGTCCATTTTTTCCTCTTCTTTGGGACCGCATTCTGGTTCTTCTTGAAGTTCATCTGCCTCCTCTAAGTGGTCTTGCTCAGCCGAGGTCAAGTTGAGTGCTTCACTCCCTGCACTTGCATTCTCCAGATCTGACTGACTGTCTGCAAAAGACAATAGAGAAACACCAAACACCTCAGCATATTTTTTGCATATGACCCAGACACTAAACCTTTGCCAACTAGGCAATATTAAAGTACATCCTTTTGTTTTATAATGCAATCAGTGGCAAGCTGTACATTTTTAAAGGCATATAAAAAAGATTACAAATAACAACTGTAACTGAAAAGAGAAGTTATAAGAGGAATTTCCTATAAGCAAAACACAAAAGTGATCTGCATATACCATCTTTCCAACCCTGATTGAAAAGTAGTGTTACACAGGACTGTGTTCAAAACCCTTGACAGCCTGGCTGGCAGACTCCATCCTTCTCTTGAGTAGATGGATGACCATACAGGCCCTAGATCAGGCTTTTTGTCCAGGAAAACAAGGCAGAATGAAGTACCCTTTTAATGAGTGTGCATGTCCCCCGATTTGACTAGGGCATTTTAAAAATGATGATCTTTTACTATCAAAGCCCGATCCCTTCTCCCCGCCTCCCGCCCTAACAATATCTATTCCAAAACTCACAATCAGGCAATACCTCTTTAGCCAGATGCATCAAAACTGTCACAAAACAGAGCAAAAACTTTTTCGTTGTTTACAGCTTTTTGTTAGGCTGGATATTAAGCAAGCAAAATGGGTTGAGGCAGAAAGATGAATGATGTACAAGAGACAAAAGGCATTCGGTTCTTCTGGTGAGCAGAAAAACTAGTGCCTAATTAAATATGTTGGACATCTACAGATTTTCAAACTGTTCTTCAACACATCCTCCTTTGCCATTTTATCAAGGTTTGGTTTCCATTTAAGTTTTTGAGAAGCTTTCTACACCTTACAGTAGGGCTGGGTTACTTGTGGCCCTCCACATGCTGTCAGATTGCAACTTGCATCACTCTTTACCCTGCTGGTTAGGGCTGACAGCACTTACAGTTCAACAGCATTAGGTCCACAAGTTCCTTACTAGTGGAATGCAAGAACTAAAAATCTAAAATTCTGCAAATTAAAAAACAAAATCTCATCCTTTAAGTCAAATTAATGATCACCTAAGATAGACTGCTCAGAAAACTGGGTGACCTTCAAAGACATGGTTGATTCATAAATGGATCCATCAAACTGGAGATATTTTTAAAGTACACGGAAGAGAAAATTCTGGAATCTAAGAAATCACTGCAGTTAACTGTACTTACACAGCTGAGGGTTGCACAAAAAAATACCTTAACAGTTTTAAGAAAGAAAAAAAATCATATTTGCAGCACCAATGTGTTAGAAATATTCAGTGTTCCATTATGTATGATTTCAATTTACATAGAAATTATATATAATTGATCCATAGAAACACAAAAGGGAAACAGCTAGTTACAAATGTAAATACAGTGGTAATTGTTCTTTGACAATAGCCGCATCACCTATTTCCTATAAAGCAGAATACACTGTGCCAATGAAAATGTTACAGCTCCAATGTTAGGATTAAGAACACAGCGTCTCACAAAGTGGAACAGAAGGGCCAGTTTAGGGAAATGCCACCAGCAGTACAATGAGTACTGCTTAAAGCAGTATAGTAAAAAAATAAAAATAAAAAAACCAATTTTTAAAAATTTAAATTGTGATTTAAATAAAATCCACCCAGGTGTAAAAACTTAATAGACCAAGCACATACGTCCTCGTTGCTGACAGGAGGATGGTGGAAGTTGTAGTTGAACAAATCTGGACAGCACCAAGTCATCTCACAAGACTGACACAAAGAAAAAAGGGTGATGTTCTGCAGTTCATATATATATTGTAGTCTAACCTTTGGTCTTTTCACAATATTTTATTTTTCTAGTTCAATCACATTTTGTGTGTTTAAGCTTATTTTCAGGTTGCTGTGGACTCCTATCTACCCAAAACTGTGTCCAGAATCCCCAGTACTCATTTTGTACCAGTTATCTCATTTTGCTCATATTTCTTTAAACAAGAAGAAAATACACCTTTATAGGCAAAAAGCCCCCACACAATCTTTCAGAGAAACGTCAGAATAGATGGCTACGGTACTGCTGAACCTGAAAGTATATCTTCGAGTAAGCGCTGAGGCCACAAAAATGCTTTTACTTCGAGAACAGTTTTTTCTTTCTCTTCTTGCTCAAGTAAGCACTAGCATACTTCTTGCTGCTGTGAAAAGTACTGTGGACTTGAAAGAACAATTCAATCTGCATTCTTGTCATGGCTAAAGGAGAAACTCTTTGAGGGCAGGGTGGAGACTGGAATTCACTTCTTAAAAACTTGAAGTCCAAGACTAACTGGGTGGAGTGCCAGATTACCTTTCCCCTCCCCCCCAAAGGCAGGTCTAACTGAAATGCCTATACTGTATATGAATGGGCCAGATAAAGGAGTATGTCATTTGCATAACTGTGGATTATATAATGCAAGCATACCAGCTGCCAAGGTGAAGAAGTGGCTGTTTTTCCTGGTAACGGCTGTTAGCCACCTCACAACACAAGTAACTGCAAAGAAGATCTGGCCAATCTTCTTACCTACAAAACGGCCAAGATCAAACCAGGTAAGCACTAGATGTGCCTGAGCACACATGCTGGCTGAAGTCTACAAATAATGTACACAGTCGCAATGCAAAAATAAGGGGAAACAACAGGTGCCTAGAAAGAAAGAAAATATTTCCATGTGGCCGCAGTGCACATAATCTATTCCTGACAGACAGATCCTTGACTTACAAGTTCTGTAAGATACTGACGTTGTATTGTACTTATTCCAACCCTTTGCTTTTTTTAACTGTTTTACTTAAACAACAAAAAGTCAGACAATTGATAAGAAGTTTTAAAAGAGGCAGCCATGTTAGTCTGTGCTAGCATGTCTGGCAAAAACAAAACAAAAATGAAAAATAAATAAATAAAGAAGACAAAAATGTAGCACCTTAAAGACTACCTGCTATAATGTGAGGTTTCACAGACAAGTGACTGAAGAAGTGGATTTGCCTGAAGCGATAAGAAGTGATCTAGTTTCTAGTACAATTCTACAGTCATCTTTCATTTCAGCAAAACAGCAAGATTTGTTTTCTTTCTGCTCCTGTCCCAAACAACTTCCACTAGGTGGAACACTTTAGCAATTTTGCGTTCTTGCAAGTGGAAGAATTTACATCACTAACAACTAGAGGTTTCACTTTTTACAGTAACCTATACTTCTCAATAGGCACAAGCTGTCTTCTATGTAGCAACTTAGCAGAAAGTAACTGCACCATACTTTTTGAATTCAACCCTGAGGAAGAAAGAAAAAAATTAAAAAGGAAAAAAAATTAAACATTCTTGAAGGGAATGTTCTAGAATGTGGCACATATCCTTAGGTCTTCTTTTCCCAAATACTGAAACATTGCTCTGAGGTCTCCTACAAAGTGACAGAGAGTTGACATCAGCTTACGAGCTATGTATGATGGCACTTATGTTCATCAAAATTAGAGAGTGAAATCAGTACATACGTTGCACTTAACTACCACCAACCCCAGCCACAGAGTCCAATGATCAAGGATGACAGATTCAAGTCTTACAACAACTGAAGAGACACAGCTTCCCTGTCTTTGCTTTGGAACCTAAGAATTTCTGCAGAATTCACTATGCTTTTCAGAAAGGGTTTAGCACAGTTTGTCTATCTATCAGTTAATCTATCTATCCATCTTAGAAAAAAAATGTCTGGCCATACTCGCTGGCAATCTTTTCTCGAGAGGGGGAACTTGCCTCTCACACATTAAGATGTATGAGCTCAAGGTCCACCCTAAGTTCAAGATGCAGTGGGTGACCTAGCCCCTCTGAAACACTATACAGGAGCAAGAATACTGGATGAGCCAACGACTAGCTAGCACATTTTTTTACAAATAATAACTTTCAATATTTATTTGCATGTTATTTTATTTAGTTAACTACTGCTTTATTTACACTTGTATACTGAATTTCCTTCAAGGAGCGTAGGCTAGTCAGTGTACATGACTGCCCTCTCCCGCTCCAATTTTATCTCACAAAAACTCTAAAAAGATTATTATGTTGAGAAAGAAGCAGGGGCTACAGGCCTCGTGTCAACAGCTGTTCAGAATTTCAACTCTAATGTGCGCTGTGAAATTCTGAACGGAATTTGCAGATCAGAGGAATAAAAGTAAAAATATTTGAAACGCAGAATGTTTTCAGCATGCAAACTGGACCTTTAAATATTTGTGTTTTTTTAAAGCTGATCAAAATACTCACTTCTACCACACACCTATGTCTTTTTAGCGCCAGTGTCCTCTGACAAATCAGGCGTTAACAAACAACAAGAATTCTGGCTTGCTATAAACTATCTAATCAGACCAGAAACAATGACAACTGCACTACCCTGCTTGCTATCTGTTTGTTCCATTTGCTGAACACACACCCCTTTCAGGATCAAACAAAATTTTACAGAGTTTCACTGATTTCCTACAAAAAGAGAGGTGAGCCAGGACAGCTCAAAGCAAGGAGACAAGAGCATTGGCTAATTCTCCCTTCAACCACTCCTCTCTCTTTGTGGTTATTATTCATTACTTGCTCAGTGCTCTACCCAGAGGAGAACAGAGGTTTGTTTTTTTAAAAAAAAGGCTGTGCTGGTTCTTGTACAAAACAAGGGTGGCCGGTACCTGTTAAACAGTGTGTTGCTGCTTTAATACTACACATATATCAAAGTTTTGAAATATTAAAAGCTAACTCCATTTCAGGTATTAATGGTTTACTAAACACAGAAAAAAGCAATTAGAAGCCGGGTGGGGAGTGGGGAAATGGCATACTGGTCACATGTTACCTTTTAGGGAGCACAGAATCTACCTAAGAACAACCTTTCTTTTAGAAGTGTCCACCATCTGAATGGTTATGCAGTCCAAGTCTGATTTGAAGACAAAATCCACTAAACACAGAAATCAGGGTCTTTAAAGCTGCTCCTCTAAAGCAAACACTCTGGCAGCACACTCAAGAGGCACATACTGTATGTCCCAGGGTAACAGTCTTTCTCACTCAAGTGAGATGCACTGTAATTATATTTAAATTATAAAAATTATTTCTAACTTTGCATTTGTAAATGCAAATCAGCAGGTGCTATTTTATGTAAAGCAGTGCTTTCTTTTATTATCCTTTTTAAATAATGCATTTCCTTTTTGGCGATTTTTGCAGTGGCATCCTAGGGAAAGACACAACATCCTAGATTTTCAAGTCTCTCTCAACCTCCCCTTGCAAGAAAAATGATTATTTTTTGCTGCTTGTAAACTCAGAGCATTCCACTGGGATTTCTGGGAGCTGTCGTCCAAAAGAAGTAATGTTCATAAGTACTGTGCACACACATATACATCAACATATACCATATTTTTCCATGTATAAGACTATACTTTTGTCTAAAATCTTTAACTAAAAATTGAGGGTCGTCTTATACACGGAAATTAGTTGAGAAGGAAAAAAACAAGTGGAGGGGAAAGTAGTTTACACACGGAAATAAGTTGAGGAAGAAAAAACAAGTGGAGGGGAAAGTAGGGATCAAAGTTATCTTGCAGGACTTTGATCCTTTTTAACCTACATTTGCTAAGCCCCACTTAGATTTCTTAATTTTGGGTTAGAAAAGTGGGGGGTGTCTTATACATGGGGCATCTTATACATGGAAAAATATGGTAGTTTGTGCTTCCATAACATCATGTATGGTTATCAGTGCCTTGAGAGCCATCTGAAGTCTCATTCATTTAACTAGGAGCCCAAAACCAAAAATAGGAACATAGCTTGTCTTTCAAGTTCTGGAACAACCTAAAAGAACTACCTGTGCTATCATGAGCTCCAGCATCACTTTCTTTAGACTGGGGGATAAGCCCGTTTCTTCTCAGACAGTAGTTGGCAACTCCATGTTTGCGTAAGAGGTGACGTTCACAGTTAGATTTGGTGGAAAAGTAGGCATCACATTTTTGACAGGGGAAGGGCTTCTGACCTGAATGGAGCAGGGAAAAAAAACATATTTATCTCTCTTTCTTGTCCATCAAAGGAGCTCCTGTGTGTCTTATTAATTCTTCCTCTTTATTTTTTTTATAACTAAATGCTCAGCTCAATCCAAAATATATTTAGTCTGAAGGCAGCCTAAATGGTTTGAAGAATTTTACTTCCCAAAATAACATGTTCAGGATTGTAGCTGTGGTCATAGTTAACTCATGTATAAAATAAAATTAAGGTGGCTGAGTATGTACCCTGAAAGTCAAGCCCTTGAGAATTTTGCAGTATACTGGACTTATGTTAAAATAATTTGGGCGTAAATCCAGAGTACGGTAATTCTTTAAAGCAGAAAGACTGAGAAAACCGTAACATCCCGTGCAGTTCTGCAGATAAATCTGCACCCAGATGCCATAGATTCATCAGAACTTGGAAAGATTATTCTTTAAATTCCCACAGTACCCTAACCAACAAAGGCCATGATGAATGGAGGATTTGGGAAATTGTACTGCAGTCTCTGAACTCCACAGTGCCAGAGAAATCCAGATGAAACTGCTGATTTGATGGGCTGCAGATGATCATGGTTACTTTTGGGACTGGTTCTACCAGGGTAGGCAGCCACTAAGCTGTGCCCTGGATCTAGCCCAAATCCCAACTTCTGTATTAAGTGAAACTATTTTGTCTAAGCCTAACCTTTGTGGGAGAGATAGGTGAGTATCAGCTGGGGAGGGAAGAATTAGCCTTACGACAAACTGTTAAGATTCCCTAAAAATCTCTCTCACACACATATATAGACAGAGCAGCAATTTTGGCTTGGTGGATAAAGACCCCATTTACACAGGTGAACTGAATGCACAGAAATGTCTTCATAGGATGCTTCTGCCCTACTGGAGCTGATAATTCTGACATTCTGTTCCTTCATTATAAGAGGCACCTCCATTTTGTAACTTTACAAAGTAAACACTTACCAGTGCAACACTTTATAGAACCAAGGGGGACTGTTTATGTTAGAAAACTTTGGGAAGGTGAGTATCAATGCACAAACTGGTTTTTAGGGTTATTAATACCCAAAGCAAAACAGCTGAAATGAATGGGAAATGATACAATGCTCTAAGGGGTAGAAATCTGAAAAGTTTAGGATGAGCACTGCAGAAAAAGAACAAAGAATTATCTACATTTAACTGCTGTATCAGTTTCATATCACTCTGTCACTGTTCCAATGTCCAGAATCTCAATGATATAAGGTTTGTGCAACTTGCTACAGATAACTGACAAGGTGCTAGGGCACAACTCAGTGGGGGGCCTGGCCATAAACTCAGCTGTGTAACTAAGATGCGCTCCAACACCTTGTCAATTAACCATCATTAGCAGCACGAAGTTATTCTTATGCAGACACCAACGTTGATGTGAAAGGGCCCACTTAATCTATCACAGGAACAAATTCTGAACACCAGACGTCTCAAGGAACGGGCACAGGTGGAACACCAGCTTGAAATGTTCAAAGGCCTTCCTGACTGAGACCTGCACATCAGGGTGCACTCCTGGATTTAACTCTGAGCTTGGATGCAAAGGCCTTAGCGTTGGCCAGGAATGCCTTCGCACAGTTAAAGCTAGTACACCAGCTGCATCCATTCCTTGAGATGTCCGATCTGGCCACAGTGCCACATTTCTTAGTTACATCTCATCTGGACCGTTGCAGTGCACTCTAGGTGAGTTTGAAGAGTGTATGAAAAGTGTTCAAAATTTCAGCTGGTTAAAATGCTGAAACCAGATTGCTGACTGGCTCTGGTTACAGGCAGCATGTAAGTCCTTCACTAGAACAACTTCACTATTTTCAGCTCAATACAAAGTGATGGTTATTACCTATATAGCCCTATATGGCTTGGGTCCAGGCTGTTTGAAAGCTCACTCCATATAAGCCTCCCCAGCTTTTAAGATCTTCTGGGGAAGCCATTCTCTCCGTTCCACAACCTTCATCAGCTCGTTTGGCGGGGACATGAGAGAAGGCCTTCTCAGTGGCTGCTCCCAGGCTTTAGAATGCAGTGCCCCCCCTAGAAGCCACATTGGCCTCCTCCCTCTTGTCCTTCCGCCATCAGGCAAAGACTTTCTTTCTCAGACAGGCTTTTAAGAAATAAGTAGAGGTCTAGAGCCTAGGTTCTTAACCTGTGGTCCACAGATCCCCAGGACACACACACACACCCCGTGATGTCGTTACAGTGGGTCCGCAAAGGCTTGAAGAAATGTTGTTATCTTTTGCAGTTAAAATAAGCAACAAAGAAAAGGAAATGCAGAACGAAATCTTGATTTCCCTTGCTTGTGTAAAACTTGGCTTTCCTAACCTAACCCTGGCTTTTCTAAACAAACAAAAGTAAGAATGAGTTATGAAAATAACTGTTTGACAGCAAACAACTGTTTGATATTTCTGCACACGGTGAGAACATGCAAGTGAATGATGCTGAGTGGCTGAGAGACAACACGTGACATTTCTTGCTATTGTGCAGACAATCTGAAGCCACGAGAAGAGAGAGTTGGAGTCAGTCGGTGTTGGTGTGATAATATTATTTTAAATTTGAACGGAATCATTCCAATAAAAATATTGTAATAGGAGTCGGTGTTGGTGTCATAATAATATTATTATTTTAAATTTGAATGGAATCATTCCAATAAAAATATTGTAATAGAAGTGTGTGCATTCACAGATTAACTTATTTCTCCCTTCTCTCCAAATCTGAAGACCCTTCATGAGAAACTTTAAATAATTGATGCACTTTAGGGTTTTAAAACTTGAGTTAAATCTTGGTGCTCTGTGGCAAAAAATATAAAGGGGGTCTGTGGTAAAGAAACGGTTAAGAAGTGCTTGGTCTAGGGAGTACTGGATTTAACAAATACTGTATAGATATTTTCAATTTTTTAAAAAAAGTTTTAAAACTGGTTTTAATTTTGGTTTTAATCTGATTAATGTTCAATTGAGTTTTAAATATAGTGTTGTATGCTTTTTAACCTGTTATCATTGTACAGTTTTGATTGCTATGAGCCACCTTATGCTTTTTAACTTGTTATCACTGTACAGTTTTGATTGCTATGAGCCACCTTGGATCCCCTATGAGGAGAAAGGCAGCAAACAAACAAACAAACTGAACAAAAGGGGTATGGACAACAAGATTACAACAGAGGAAAAACTAGAAGACAGAAGGGAGAAAGTATCGTAGAAAGTTTAACTTATTTTAAAAATAATAATAATACACAAAACCAACTGTGCAGGATTTCTAAAAAGTCCACATGGAATGGGGGAAAATGGATGGAAAAGAAGAGACAAGACGCAAAATCTGCTGTGACAAAGCCAAGAATGGATACTGCTCCTGGGGGTGGATTTGATTTAAATCAAATTGATAGGGAGAAAGTATCGTAGAAAGTTTAACTTATTTTAAAAATAATAATAATACACAAAACCAACTGTGCAGGATTTCTAAAAAGTCCACATGGAATGGGGGAAAATGGATGGAAAAGAAGAGACAAGACGCAAAATCTGCTGTGACAAAGCCAAGAATGGATACTGCTCCTGGGGGTGGATTTGATTTAAATCAAATTGATTTAATTTAATGTAACACACAAAAGCAACTCTGTAGGATTTCAAAAAAGCCCATATGGAATGAGGAAAAATGGATGGAAAAGAAGAGACAAGAAGCAAAATCTGCTATAACAAAGCCAAGAATGGATACTGTTCCTTGGGGTGGATATGATTTAAATCACGATTCAAATTTTTTAAAAATCTGATTTTTGATTTATTTTTTTTTAAAAACAAAATTTTAAAATTTAAATCATGATGCTCCTGGGGGTGGATTTGATTTAAATCAAATTGATTTAAATTGATTTAAATCACGATTCAATTTTTTTAAAAATGTGATTTTTGATTATTTAATGTTTTTAAAAAACAAAATTTTAAAATTTAAATCATGATTTGAATCGATCTCTTAAAAAATCAGTATTTTTATCCACCCTGCTACTGCTGCTGTATCCCTCCCACTTAGCACAATGAAAGCTTATGGATGCTTCTGTCACATTCATCTTCCAGTATAAATTGGTTTTTGTGCTGATTAACATCTGAATCTGAATTAAGGAAGATCATGAGTTGCTTGAAAAAAAAAACTTGTGTCTCTTATGTGTGGCAGTCATGTTGGATTCTTTCCTAAACTGTTCTTCTGCACCAAATACTGAAAAAGAAAATACAGTACAACATTTTGCCATATCTGACAAGCATATGATAATCTTAGAAGCAAATACTTGTTTGCTAGCTGGTTAATTAGGGCTACAATTCTGCAACTGATGCACTGCAGAGTCAATACTTTTTCTCTAATGCATTATTTCTTTTTGCGCCTCCGATGACAACAATTATACCTGGGCCTGTTGGCCACAATCCTTTTTGTGTTCATGTCAGGTATGCATAACATGGCATGGCTATTTGCAATTAACTCACAGGATGTCAAGGATGTGCCTTGCTTGTGTGCTTGGTTATACACCTTAATATAGGAACCTCAGCAGTTCGCTGCAAACTAGCTATGGCAAGTTACACAAAGCTTACGCAAATATCAGTAGGATTCCACTGATTATGCAGCATGGAAAAATAACTAATTCACATTGAAGCAGATTACTAATGTAAATATGTAAGAAAATAAACAGTGAATGTTGAATAACTTTCTATTTTGCCTGAGCAAGAGCATGTTTCTGTTCAGTTCTGCTCTTTCCTGTACTCAATCAGAATCAAGGTCATTTTAAAAATCATTACACTGATTTGAGCCAAGATTGGTGATGATAGAACAAACAACAGTCAAACCATAATGAACCCACAAAGAGGAGGAGGGTACACTATCTGCCTGTATTTATATATTTAAAACACCTACTACTGCAAAGACAAATTACATGATTCGATGTACTTAAATAGAATTAGGAACCTGCATTTTAAGACCTAGTTTTTAGCAACAGGTTTGAGATATAGTTGCTCGGATAAAAAGAACGAAAGTGAGTTTGGGCTATATAGTGTGGGGATTAAACAAAAAGAAAACAGTACTCCACTCCTACTAGTTTTTTATTTATTTATTTTAAGAAATCTCTGTTTACCCAATTAACTGCTTAGAAGAAATATATTTCTATCTATTTGGACGAAGAAAATGAGTGACCATCATGCACTCTGTGCATCTCTGTACTATATATTTGTTTTTGCAAGCCACTGCAACTCTACGCTTAAGAGGCATCTCAATGGCTTGAAAAGCTGCCTGGTGCGCACAATTCACACAGCCAGAAATGTGCCCCATGGAGGCTCCAAACATGTACTTGGGCTACCATACAGTTTGTGAACGGTCTGTGTTAACAGACACTGCTGTGCATGGAGATGTTGCTAATAAAGATGTGTGGTTGACAGACAGAACACTAACTCACTAATTAAAAGTTAATCAAAACCTTAGTATGTCCAGGTACTTCTGAAAATGCTAAATTCATTACTAAATTTGTTTCAATAATGCACGCACTAGGGATGTGCACTGGCCTCCTGACTTGGTTCTCTGCCTAAATGACACACAGACGTCTTGGTGCCCAATTCAGACTCTGTTTTTTTGGAGGCATCCTGATCTGATCCTTATTCCAGGTCCATGTTGGTACTTTCACGTTTCCAAATCTCAAAGAAAAATCAATTCCAGTGAATGGGAAAATGCAAACAGCCATGGCAAAGTAGTACAACTAATTTTTTAAAAGAATTGAGAAGTCGAAACTTTGAGAACAAAAATCTGTTAACCCAAGTCACTCATTTTTACGGCAGCCAAAACATAAAAATAAAAGCCAGAGAGTGGTTGCTATCACCTGGTAACCTTACTTCAGAGACCTTGAGCAACTGGAGTGTGCAGGAGAGGTCTTAGACTTCACCAAGGGCTGGGAGGGGGGGACAAAGTAACCTACTCCACTGGCATATTTTTCAATACTTTCAATTCCTTTTTCCCCATTTTAATTATATGATTTCATTTCTCTTTTGGAACATGGAGAAATCTGTGGGAGCTGATCCTATATCAATGGCAGCCATTGGTCTTATTTAACTGATCATCATGTCCATGCTCACAGATAACTGGTAACTGTTCAGCACTGTCTACAGCAACTTTTGGGGTGCCAGTGTGGTGTAGCACATGCAGTGCCTGAGTAGGATTAAGGAAACCTAGGTTCACATCCCCAGTTGGCCAAGAAAAGTCAGAAGGTGAGGTGGCAATGTTGTACTTACTCACTGGACATCTCACATATCTTGAAAACCCATGGGTTGCCGCAAGTCAGAAGCAAGCAGAGGTATATAACAAACTCTCACTTTGACCATTTTTACAGCCAAAAAAGGAACAAAAGCATCAAGGGAAGGAAATCAGAGATATCCACAAGAAGAGAAAGATGACAAATCAGCAGTAATGGATCCACTTTGTCAAAGATATTTGAAGAATATAACCCTGAATCATTACAGTATTTTATAAATACCTTAAGACCAATTTTGCTGAGGTTTCAATCATGTGTAAGATGTAAGATGTGTAAGATGTCCATCATTTTCTCACATGCGGCTTTGAAATATATACTGCAAATAACCACAGAGTTTCTGACAAAATAAATATGGCATTTGCTTCCTCTCTTTCCCTCTCAAATAAAGCAATAAATGTATGGCCATGATATGCAACAGATCCAGATATGCCTACGAGTCTTCACTCAGATAATGACACAGAATCATCAGGTACAATCACTTTGCTTCTGATAGCTCTGTGGTGGAGGTTTGTGGGGAGAAGTAAATATAAAAAGCATCTTGCTCCTATAATGGAATGACTGTGAGGCTCTTTCCCATGCTAAATCAGGTTTTAGGAACAAACTAAAATGGACTTTTGTCATCCTCTTCTTCCTTATTTCTGTTACACAAGCAAATGACTCAGCAAGACGCAGGGGTGGTATCTGAAACCACAGCACAGGCAAAAGCAGATGTTTACAGATGTTCTAAATGACTTCAAGCTAGAACAAATGAAATAGTTGGGAAGGGGTCCACTCAGATACAAAACAGGATTTTAAAAATAAGGGAGAAGGGCCAAGACCCTGGTGCTGAATTAATTGAAATGCTGAAAACTGTTGCAATGGTCCTGAATCTCAGTTCATGCGTGTGAGACGAGGAACAGTTAATAATCAATATGTTCTTATTTCAGAACAAGCACCCCATTTCATACACTGACTATAAACAAGGAGTTTTCTTCAGACTCAATATATATGCAAGACAAAGTGGGCTATAGTGCAGAAAACCTTATGCCAAACAAAACCCCTTCGTTTCGGATTCCCTGAAATCCCTCAGTTTTTCACACAACAGACCAACATAGCTATCCCTGTTGGAGCTTTGTTCAAGTTTATGTGTAAACTCTGACCCTCGGTACTCTAAATAATAAGGAATGAATTCTATTTGCATGGTGCAGGAGTGATATTCACATCATTCCTCAATCAATGGAGTGTTTGCATTTATCAAGTCTCCCGTATAATATTATGAAACCATCACTTGATCTTTCCAATGAATGTGGAACAATGTTCCCTCTAAGCTATAGGGCCGCGCAGCTGCGGAACACTGGACTGGGACTGCATAGCCAAGCCAGAGTTGTTAGCAGAAAATTAGAGGGAACATTCAGATGGTAGTATAGAGCAGTGGTCCCCAACCTTTTGGGACTGCAGACCAGCTGAGACTCTGAGGAAGGCGGGGCACCTCCCCGCGATTGCACGGGCACGCTCTTGGGCACATGCGCGTGCACTCTCCGGTGCATGCAGGAAGCAGTGGGGGAGAGAGAGAGCACCAGCGCCAACATGAGCACTCCCCCACCCCTTCACACATGCACCCATGCAAAGGGGTGGACGGGCGCGCAGGTGCCCGGGTGCATGCGTGAAGCAGTGGGGTAGCGTTAATGCTGGTACGCATGTGCATGCACAAAGCAGCGGGGGCGGGGGTAGCGTGTGCAGGGGGGAAGGTCTGTCTCCGCAGCCCGGTCCGGCTCAGGACATGGACCGGCACCAGGCCGTGGATCAGGGGTTGATAGCCTCTGGTATAGAAAATAGTACATTTGGAGAAATAAAAAATACTAAGTATCTCCTGATGAGGAAACCACCGCAACTACCTAGAACAGAAAAACTACCAACAGACATATTTTCCAAGAATGAATCTCAAAATCAGTCAGAAGTACACAAATTTAAAACTGATACCGCTTTACCAGAAGTACATCACAAACTGTTCAATGGCATGAAACAGTAGCTTCAGCAATCAATCATTCAAAGGGAGAGGGGAGAAAATTCTTGGTGTGAAAACAGCTCACATTCCCTCTCCAGCTGTTTCCTTATTCCAGACTCCTCTTACCCGAGATCCTCTCCAAACCCCATTTTAAATGTAGCAAAGCTCTATGGGAACTCCAAGGCATTACAGTAAGGCGCTGGTAGTTTCCTGAGAAGCACCCTGCATGGTGCATAAGAGGTAGAAAAACTACTAGATCCATAATGCCTTACAGTTCCCAAAGAAGTGGCCCACCCAGCGTTTTTTTTCTCCATCTTCATCATGTTCAAGAGAAGCCATTATTTCTCTTCTGAAAGTGATTACAGACGCCTGAATGAATGAATGAATTTCGTTAAAGCCCCAAGAAGTCTAGATGAGGGAATACCTCCAGATTTCAAGGATCTAGCGTACATGAATTCTGAAAATCCTATGCCTACTGTCTACAACTCCCATCATTCCTATCAGTGGCAATGCTGGGTAGGGTACATGGGAATTACTGGCCCAAGCACCTGGAAGAATCCAGGCTAGGAAAGCTGGTCCACTGTAACTGATACAGATTCCACATTATGAATCTTTCTCAGCCACCATGCATGCTTAAGAACAAATGTGGGACAGAGGGAAACCTCAGTGATTGTTTGAATTACCAGTCTTGGTGCAATATGTCATGGCAGCAGAAATCTGCAGTCCTCCAAATACCACTGGGCTGCAATGTTCATTATCTCTCATCACTTACTATGCTGACAAGGTCACAATACAACAACATCAGGAGGGTCACATGTTCTCCATCTCTCCATCCCTATGCTGTTGCTCAGAAACTGTCAGAATGGTACACGCTCAAACCACATTTTGTCAATACAAGAATAATCCCTCTGCATTCTGCCACCCATCCAAGCCAACACATTATTTTACACTGCTGCTGTGAAACAGATTTGTAAAGCAGACACAGAGCACTAGCACAAAGCTAATCCCCATAACATTACATGTGTACTGGGCCCAGTTATGCCCAGTGCTAAGTCTCTACAAGTAACCTTTAATATACTGAATAAACTTTAAATATGAAGCATACCCACAAGCCTCATGCTTAAGATAGATGCCCTCTCAAACATGACATACCAGACAGTAAAGTTCTTAGCATCCTAAATAACAAAATCACAGAGCAGGGATAATTACTTTTTTTTAAAAAAAGGCTCTTACTGGTAGACACCCCTCCCAACTTTCTTACATCTACATTTATTTTGCTCTCCCCAAATGGAAGAAAATACGGCAAGTAAACTTTACTTGCTACATTAAGAAAAGAGAATAGTAATAATAATAAATGTTTAATTATGGTCATTGACCAGCAACAATAGTATTCTAGTTTCAAACAGGAACGCTGCTATGTCCTCGTTACTTCAGGAAGTGACATTTTATAGGCACCAGTTGTCACACTTTTGTACATGATTACTCCAAGATTTGTACCATCCCTCCCATGAGATCCACACACGAAAGCAGGTAAGACTTTTCTGGTCCATCCTGGCAAGCTTTGTGCTCCACATGGATCCACCATATCTAGGCCATTATCTACCAACTTAAATGCCAACTCTGCGAAATATATCTGGCCCCAGGGCCAGTTTGCAAGGAAACTCACTTACCTGTGTGAGTAAGCATGTGCCGTTGTAAAGAGCTTGCCCAAGGAAAAACACTCGGACAATGAGGACACTTAATTTTTTGAACACATTTTGAGTAGGCATTTCTCTTTCCCCTGAGGACTTTGTCTTCAGCTGTTTCTTTTTCTTCCTCGCTGGTTCCATTTCTGTCAGCTGCTTCTTTGAAATCTGCCGTCGACTGCAGAAATGTGCTGAATCTATTTGTATCAGTGGTTGCCAGCATCTTCTCTATGCTAGCAAACTCCCCACTCGACTCCAGGTCCACACCACTGCTTGCCTTTGGCTTGTTTTTCGTTCCTTTCTTCCTGCCTCTCTTCTTCATAGACCCAGGACTGGGAGATTTCTGGGGACTGTTTGGACTGCCAGCCTGTTCCATCAAATCACTGGGAAGGCAGGGATCATTCTGGACAGCAGACACCATTGTTGAGTTTGGTTTGGAGTTCCCTGACTTTTCAGTCCCAACAGGATTGGTGATGGCTGCCTTGGGGACAGAGTCTACAACTTCTGTCTTGAGCAAAGCGGGTGCCGAAGACACCGATGAAATGATCTGTGCAATGGAAGCGAGGGGCGGCAGCTCTTTAGTTACCAGAGGCTTTGGCAGGAGAGGGGGTGGCTTGGGCCGTAATGGTCGCAGCAAAACAGAGTTCCCCAAAAGAGTGGGAGAAATGATTGGGACAGACAAATGTAGTGGACCCTTGAATGTCTGGGAATGTCGGAGAGCCTGGTGGTCCAGGCTGCCATTAACTGGAGGAGACTGCTGACGATTATGGAGTTTCTCATCATGCCCATCAAGGAGCTCTTGCTTTTTGTCCTCGCCAAGGGTATCATCACTTTCCTTCTTTGGAGCCTTGGGGATTGACAAGTCTATAGGCTCCATGGAACAGTCATAGGAGGAAGAATCAAATGGGCCCTCCTGTTTTACCAGCACAGAGTTCAAGTTTTTGTTCTTTTGGGAGAAGTCTAAAGGCTCATCAACATTCCTAGGGAAGCTGTTTGCAGTTTCAAGTTTGATCGGTGTATGAGAGGGGGCGCCCTTCAAAAAGCCATTCTGCGATTCCAGGAAAGATGTGACAGGCTTGCAGTCTATGTAAGTGTTATCTTCCAATAACTGCAGAGGGGCTGGTTGGCTCTCTGGAGGGGTGATGTCCACTGCCAAGATGTAACTCTCTACCTCCTTCTCTTGGATGTGTACGTGCTGTTTCAGGAGATGATGGATGCAGTTGCGCTTGGCAGAGAAAGCAGTGCCACATTCTTTGCATTCAAATGGCTTCTTCTTCTGGGAGCTGCTGTGTGTCCTCATGTGGATGCGGAGGGCGCGGTAATGCTTAAGATCCTCACCGCAGAACTTGCACACCGTGTCTGGGGAGCAGAAGGCATCGACCATCTCTGCCGCATTGCTGGCAACATACTCAATGTTCTTTTCAATGTCCTTCCTCGTTGTCTTGGTGTGTTTCTTGCGCAAGTGCCTTTCACAGTTGGCTTTCACTGTGAAAGGGTAGTGGCAGATTTTGCAGATGTACGGCCGCTCCCCACTGTGCGTCCTCAAGTGTCGGATCAGTGCTGCTCTGTCGGCTGCAATGTAGTCACAGATGTTGCACTGGTAAGGAGAGATGCCCAAGTGGGAACGGACGTGAGCCCTCAAGACCCCAGAAAAAGGAAATACCTGGTCACAAAAATGACAGGGGTACAGGACTTTCCTCATGGCTGGAGTCTTCTTGTTTGCCGTTCCAGCCATCATGGCTTTGAAGTCTCGCTCTGTTACCTCTTGTTTGATTTTTGCCTCTCTGGCTAAAGGCATAAGGGCCTCAATAATGCTGTCTTGCTCCAACTGCGTTTTCATTTCATGCTGATTCAAAGTCTCTGTCTTACCTTGGGAAGAAAGGCCTGATTTGGCTCCTGACTTCTTATGTGAAAGATGGGAGTCTGAAGTCGATTCTTCGGAGGTCTTGACCACTTTGGGTGGCACTGGAGGCAGGCTTGGACTGATACATCCAGGTGAGGCTTGCTGAGTGTTGACCAGAGGAGGAGGTGTTGACGTTGCTACAACAGTACGAGGTGCTACCAAGGGCTTTGGCTTCAGCGGAGGCATATGCTTGAATATGGACTGCACAGGGATATGAGAGGCCTTAGAAAGTGGTGGGAGGCTGATCTGTGGGGTTGCTGAAGAAGCTATCTTTAAGATCTGCTGGATGTCTGCAAGTTCACCAGATATGGGTTTGACGACAATGCTATTGTCAGGTTGAATGATGAAGCCCTTCTGAAAAGGCTGTAGTGACAGGAGCTTCATGTTTTCCTTTGTAGGGGGAAGGACCGAAAAAGTCCCACTCATAGAAGCCGCCTCCAAAGGGCTGGCATTCAACTGGTTAGCACTACCAGGTTCCTGAGGTAGGTTATATTTCAGTGTTCTAAGCTGCATGTCTTGGACCTCATCATCTCGTGTAAGCTCCTCCTCCTTGACAGGTTCAATGTCTTTGGTATGCCGCAGTCCCAAGGATGCCATGTAAGCCTTCAGGTCTGCATCCTCTGACTGTGTTGCGTGCTTTTCTTGTTCCTGATTTGTTGCGTGGGTTTCTGTGTGCAGCTTGAGTGCAGAGAGCATAGGGAATGCCTTGTTGCACATCTCGCAGATATATCGATGGAATTCACTGATGCATCTCCTCAGATTTGTTTCACACCAGACCTACAAGGTAACACAATGGAACAAACACTATTAAATGTCCTAAGAAACTGGAAAAAAAGAAATTAAAACTTCACTAGATACACTCTGTCCTAAACGTCTAGGTACACATAACATTTCTATGAGATGTTAATGAGAGAGCAAAGGTACACAAAGATGACTGTGGTGCTCCAGGTCCTTACTTAGCCTCCAACTTGCTAAAGAGGAACTTTGAGAAGGGGCTGAGTAGGACATGAGTCTTCTCTGATTTTCCAGGTGACTCATCAGGCTCATGTATGCCTCCTTTACCAGTGTGTTCCAAAGACACTATTGCAATTATGTATCCTTACAGTATTTATTTTTTAATGCAAGGCTAACGAGTATCTCCTAAGGCTTCTGTACACTATTTAATTCTTCTCTACAGGATGTAAATAAGGAAGGATTAAGTATATCAATTGAAAGCTAACCATCTTATAGTGCACGTATTTCTTCTCCATCCCCACATCTGCTATCCTGTAAATTAAATACAATAAAGATAATGGACACAATTCATTTAGCCAAGAATACCTGAGAAATGCGGGGAAATTTCCTACAAGAGAAGTCTGTGAATCCCAAATCGTGGAAGCCTGCTGGGATTGAAGGGTTGTTCTGAATAAAAGGCTTTCCTGTTGGGTCTTTTGGAAGTTGTTTATGAATGGCTGCATTATGCTTCAACAAACCCCGATGTGTGCGGAAGGTAATACAACAGATGTCACACCTGTGCAAAGTAGGAGGAGAGAAGGAAAATAATCTATTAAGAATTTCAGCTATCAAATGACTTACCTGGTTATATGTACAAGACACATAACCACAACCAACACCACAAAAATATAGCACTGCCTATTGCCATCTGCTGTGTTAACAGTTTCATTTGCAATTACTAGTAGAATCACAGAAAATTGTACAGTAACAGAGATTGATGATTACTGGTTGACCACATCAAGAAACCTTTCTCCCTGGGTCGACATAAACATGGCAAGCTGAACCCATTTTCTTACTCTGCTCATCTAATATTCTTGGAATGTTTAAAACCTTTTAATGCAATCAAAAGGAGAAACCAACGATCTACACTTTATATAGGTCAACAGAGAGTTTAGAAAAGGTTTGTTCTTGAGCTTCAACTTTCAAAATCCATCAGTCACACTGGCTAGAAGATACCAAATATTGTTGTCCAAAACATACAGCACTGAACTGTAGCTATACAGAGGTTCAATAGGATTTTTTTCCTTACTGCCAGAGTACAGTCATGCCCCGCATTACAACGAATCCGCTTTACGACGATGTTTTTGCAATCGCAATTGCGATCGCAAAACGATGGTCTAAATGGGGGAATTTTGCTTAGCGATAATCGGTTCCCTGCTTCAGGAACCGATTTTCGCTTTATAACAATCAAAAACAGCTGATCGTTGGGGTTTCAAAATGGCCGCCAAGTGCTTAAAATGGCTCCCCGCTGTGCTTAGGGATGGATTCCTCGCTATACAGGCACCGAAAATGGCTGCCGTATGGAGGATCTTCGCTGGATGGTGAGTTTTTAGCCCATTGGAATGCATTGCACGGTTTTCAATGGGTTTCAAAGGGGTTTTTTAATTTTGCTTTACAACATTTTTGCTTAACAGCGATTTTCCTGGAACTGATTATCGTCATTAAGCGAGGCACCACTGTATTGGAGAAGACAAAAGGGGAAGTAGGAAAAGCAACCTATTCAGTTGTTAATTAAATATGTCCCACCAACATGTTAAGAGGGGGAGGGTAGTACCACTCCTCCATTCCTAGTCTCCCCTGGCCTTTATACATAGTTGCAAAATTGAAGTGTAGAGCCTCCACCAACTGTGGTGGCTCTCTGCATGAGTTAGAAGTTCAGAAGAGCAGAGTTCTAACTCACATGGAAAGCCTTCATAGATACCAGAAACGCTCCGGTTCAGAATGTCACCCTGTGTGTAAATAGGAGCAATAGAAATGGTGATGGGGGTAGCTAGTATGCTCCTCCCTCCAAAGGCTGATTGAACATATCTAATAAAATATTGTTCTCATCTTGAAATGGAATTTGAAAAGTAGTTAAGAGACAGACTGAGTGAAGTTGTAGATACTACAGTTATATTTCAGCAAAAGTTGAAAAAGTTAAAAAATAAAATATATACCTCTTCAGGTATATGTCCTTTAAAAACAGCTGTTCTTCCAAAGGTAGTCATTTTAAAAAATATATAAGGCAAGTATATTACATTCTCTTCACTTTACAAATATTACAGTAAGTGAAATTGCACATAAAGCCTTGAATGTGTTTAAATATAACATTTAAATCAAACATGCTAACCCAGTTAGATTATCTGTTTTCTTTCAGAAAACCAACATCATTGGTGCTCTCCCCTTCCAACCAGCTCCTTAAATTCCTTGTTCCAATTAACACTCTATGGCCTTTCTCAGTGCATCTGCAGATTTTTTTAAAGCCCTGATGTAGATTTTTTTTTGTCAAACTCGACATTCCTCTTTTCAGCCCTCAATGATGCATTTGAATTTGTAGAATTCATATATTAATTTACCTAACAAGTAGACAGACTTTCACTTCTACATGTGTCACTAAGGAGAGAACACAATTCCAAAAGCAAAGAGAACATCCCCAAAAAGCCATAGGAAGCAGTTCTATCAAGCACTATGGTAGCCTCATCAAAGCATTTCAAGTTCTTCATCAAGAGATTATATGTTGAGTTTCTCTCTAGTACCAAACTGAACTGGTAACAAAGTATCTGCCGCAACAGCTTCAACTCCATGTTAAAATGCTCAAGACAAACTGTGCCCATTATTATGCCTACTGGTTCTGGCGTGATTCCCTTGGACTCACACTTTGTACCTTCATTTTTGCAGACAAAGTTAGCATCTATGATGAGCTTCTGGTAATACGCAGTGCTGAAGAAACTGTTACACTACAATTCCTATCAGCCCTAGATAACATAGCCAACTGTGAGGAATTCCAAGAGCTGCTTATTCAACAACACCTGGAGGTCTGAACTTAGCTTACACCTGGCCAAAATAATAAACTGACGTGAACTGATATGACAAACCTCCATTTGGACTCTACAGGCAGCTATATACACCCTGCTACCTGTGCATACACACACAAAGGCACAGTATATAAATATTTCTCTTCTAAATCACATAAACCAAAATAAAACAGAAATCTTTTTATATGCCAATGTTTAATTCACTACCTAATCTGCAATCTATACTGGGCTCAACTTCCCAAGAGACAGCTTCTGATATAATATTCAACTATTCAGTTTTTAAAGATGCAACAAAACAACAGTACTCTTAAATGATGCAGGCAATTAGGGTGAGCAGGTTTCCTTAAAAAGCAATGTGCTACACAAAGTTCTCTGCCTACTGCTCCTGCTTCTCAAACCCATGCATTCCTTCTCACAAAGAAGCTATCATGGCCTTATGAGGATCCTCCACTGTCTTCAATGGAATGCAACATATTTTGGTTACGCAAACATGCACTGAAGTTGAATTGTACAGGCAAAGACATGCATTCCTAGATCACAGGAGCATACATTGAGGCAGGAGGCTCATATAAAGGTGCTATATAATGGCAGCAGCAGAGTTATGTGAATGACCTTTGGAACATGCATCCGCCTCCTTCAGAGACAGAGGAAATGGCAAGGAAAGTGATACTACAAGCAGGACTTGCAACTGCCTTGTTTTTTTTAATTAAAGCTTGCAGCAACCCCCAGTCAGCTGGGCATTCTGGGAGCTGTAGTTCATAATAAGTAATGCTTCCCCATCTCTGCTTTTGCTTTTCCACTGCTAAGGAATCTGTGGTTCTCCTGAAAGTTAGAAAAACTTCAAGACTGGAGACACAAACAAAATTTTCAAGTAGGAAATCACAGAGAAAATATCTCAGGATTATCAGGTATAATGAAAATATAGCACACCCCACAATGTCCGAAAGCATTCCATGGAACACTCACCAACTATTGTCATGACTGCAAATAGGAAGCTGAAGTTCACTCAGAGTGAAAAGTAGTCTCCCAGAAACATATAGAATTGCCCCCATCAGTTGGAGACACTTGATCTCAGCACAGCACTGCTACCAAGATCCCCTGCCTATTCCCTGGCATCTTGTTTCTAAGTTTCTCCACAAGGACAGTGAGGGTAATTGCAGGTACCCTCCCAAGACTTGAAAGACAGTGATAGAACCATAGTCTTGGGATCCTTAGTTTACTAACCCTACTTGGGTGTTTTCAGAGAGTTACAACAAGAGTATTTAAAAAGTAAATCGCTGTAAATCATGCAGCAAACCTGTGGATGAAAGCAAGGAATTGGGACATGCTAACCAATTCCTGTGTGTGTTTTAACTGTCACTAGTACTGCAACACTACTCTAATAACGAACAAGGTCTTTCATGCTTGCAACAATAAGGCAAGCCTCCCTGGACACCACACGGTCATCTTGCAAATAAATGAACACAATAACTTCACTCCCTCCCCTCTCTTTGCTACCTTATCTGGTCACAAATTCCAATACAAGTTGATTTAGAGAATAAAAGGGGTTGCTGAGTAACAGTGCTTGCAGCCATCATGGAGGGGGGCAGGACTTCCTGTCCTTATCTTTTGTCACCCAGAGGCATCACTGAAGATGCCACCAGCAGCACTGAACAAACTTGCAACCCTCTACAACTCCCCACATCTCTACCTGGAGACTCAATATAAAGACAAAAAAAATCTTTCCTTTCCCCTACCCCCTATATAGGGTACTTTGCCCACTTTGTTGAAGTGCCTTGCCAAGCAGTACTACATGGTGGCCACTCCTTCCCCATAAATGGGGGTGGGGGAAATGTAGCTGACATTCATGCTAATTTAAACTGGGGGATTTGCCTGGAACATGAAAACTACAGAAGTAAAGTGAGATCTTATAACTCATGTTTTTACAAAGCTTAGAATTTGACTTAAGTTGTCACAAGTGAGGAGTCTGGCTTGTTGGTGTTTCTAAGTAAAGTCCTGCCTTTTTTCTTGTGATTTTAGCATAGCCTTGCATACATTTTAGTGTATGCACACATTAGGGCCCCTATGGGAATCTGTACCAATTAAAAGCTTCCAAGACTGCAGTATTAGAGCGGGCAAGAAAATGCAAACTGATGATGCAACAAGACAAATATTAGGTCTACTAAGAAAGAGGGGCCCCATCTGGATCCCATTTCAGACAGGACAATGTCTAATCATCATCATCTTAGAACTGCAAAACTGGAATGGACCCTATGGATTATCGAGTCCAGCCCCTGACAAGGATGCACAGTGGGAAATTAAAATCCCAGTCTCTGGCTCCATAGACAGATACCTAAATCATCGAGCTATCCAGGAGTTCTTTGGCTCAGCACTGCAAACCGTAACACACCTAAACTTCTTTGTTGGCTGATGGAACTTAAGAGAGCAAAAACACCCAGCCCACTTACAAAAAGCACTACCGTTATCTTTCCCAAGAAAACCCAGCAAAGAGTAGTTTTAGATACAATAAAGATTAAGAAATAAAAAGGATGGCTGTAAGTATGAATGCCTTTCAATTCCAGGCTTTCGTTATTATAGCTAGCAGAAGACATGAAAAGTACATAGTAAAGGTAAACTATTTTAAGAACCAAAGAAGGTAGTTTTAAACAAAACAGACTTTTTTTTTTTGCTTTGCCTAAAGACTTTTGAATGAGTTAAAAGGGAAGAAGACAGATATGCCAAC